ATATATACATGTATCAAATTTGACTAAAAGCTCTGGAGGATTAGTATTCCGATTGAATATAAATATGAAACGGACAAAGTTCCTTTGGCTAATTGCGTGGGAGGAAGCAAATTCGCAACGAGAACGATCATTTTAATTAACGACGGTGTTGTGTAATGCGTCGGAGCATTGCGGAGGCATAGACGAGGGGGGGAGAAAGGGGACGTAGGGTGGGTGGTGTATGTCCAGTAATTTTCCACGTAATCAGAATCGATGGCCCCCCTCTTATGGCGTCCCGACGGTTTTTCGTCGTCCGGTTAAAATCGAACGAACGTAATCCCCCCTGGGTATTAACTCCCGGCAACCGTTAGGCCGGCTACGAAATAATACCGAGCCATTTGGTTTCGGTAATTTAAAAGTTTGAATGGCTACGGGTTGGAGCCTCTGATTCGATTGGCAAATTTGCTGATTCAACCTCGTTCCAGGTTTTACGCCATTTTTCTTTTTTTTTTTTAACTCGGTATAATCCAATGTACATAGGGAAGGAGTTGTTTCATTATTTTATTCGACTGATTCGATTTTAATTAAGTTTATTGAATGAGCTCGTTGTTAAAAGAATAGATCAGTCTCTTCTGTTTGATAATTCTGTTAATCAATTTAATATACGTTTCGTTATTTCTCATCGAATTAATTGTTCACCTTATATTTGATCCGAACACTTTTTCAATTGCAATTATCCAAAGCTGCGAAGTAATTTACAAGAACTATACGCGGCTTCCAAAGAGATAATGATTTGTGACGCGCTGCGGTGGAAACTTGGATACCCAGGACCAGAAACCTCAAATAAGGTCGTACAAATAGCCGAAGTTCGGGCCCCGATCAAACTGCAACGATGCAAACTGTACAGAGTTTCAAGCAATCGTCGATCACCTCGCTCCTCCTTTCTTAACAACTATTAAGAAGTCTTATAAGAAGTCAGACTTTAAATAGTATTTAAATATCTACTATAATTATTATATTGTCTCTTAAAATAAATCATTTAACACGAATAGTCATAAAGTGTGTCCCAGGAAAAGATAATATTCTGGCGGTGCTTCTGAACAACATTTCCCTTTGGCAAAATTCAATGCGAGGCACGGTTTTTGAATTATTAACGAAAAACACTTGGCCAATGAGAACGCGCGTAGGGCCACGTTGAGCCACTGCCGAGCGTCGTCGAGGCCCCACTCCTGTGCCTCAGCGCGGACTATCCACGGGAGTGGGGCCTCGGTGACGCTCGGCAGTGGCTCAGCGCGGGCCCTCCACGGGAGTGGGGCTTCGGTGACGCTCGGCAGTGGCTCAGCGCGGGCCCTCCACGGGAGTGGGGCTTCGGCGACGCTCTGGAGTGGCTCAGCGCGGGCCCTACGCGTGCTCTCATTGGTCAAGTGTTTTTCGTTAATAATTCAAAAACCGTGCTTCACTTTAGAATTTGCCAAAGGAAATTGTAGTTCAGAAACACTTACAGAATCACCTCTCTCCTTTTTTGTCGACCCTGTTTTGCCTTCCTGTTTAATTATTTAATTAATCATTAATCTTTTTAATAATATTAATGAAAATTCGTTTTATGATCTCGAAATTATTAATAGAAGAATATAATTTTT